GAACGCAGCTGAGATCTAGCGAGCCCGTCTCCTCGCGGGGATCGTAAACCGGCAGACATTTTAATGCTCGTGAGGGCTGGCTCTGTAATTTTACCTCTGTTTTAATTTTAACTAATCCTGAGTAGTGCTGAGGACCTGCCTCCCTGCGATGGAGAGGAGCCCGGTCCCCCCAGGGAGGTTTGGTGTTGAGTTCTTCCGTCTTTAACAGAAAAGTGGAACTTTTTGCTAGCAAAAGGGTTTTCTGATGGTGAAATTAATGGCAGCCCCTGTCTCCTCTTTGACATGCCCTTGTGCCAGATGCTCTCGTGCCCAGGGAGCTGGGGAGGGATGGCCGGACAGCCTGGGGCTCTCCCTGCTTCAGCCTGGGCTCTGGGAGCTGCGGCAGAGCAGCTCTGGGACGTCAAGGTGATGCCACCGGCACGGCGTGGGCAGGCCGTGGTCGGGCCGAGCATCCCCAGCCCCGTCTGGTCCCCATCCTGCATCCCTACCCGGAGCCGGTGCATGAACCCGGCCCTGGGATTTTGGGGAATGATCCGCTCCCCTCATGTAGGGCAGCTCCTCCTGCCCCGGAGCACTAAAGCTGGAGCCTCCAAGGCACCAAACATCTCTGCTACCCACCCACCCTACGGACGCCGTGGCAAACGCTACAGTGGCTCTGCGCTTGTCGGGAAAGACAGCAGCCTTTGGAAGAAACTTCTGGCCTCTAAACCTGCTCCAGACCAGAGCAAGGAGCAAACCCCAGCAGCGTCCCGCCAGAGCGCATGGATGGGAGCACGGCTGGTATTTAACACAGCCCCTGACCCGAACGGAAAAAAGAAAAATCACCCGGGCACAAATTTGCCAGGATTTGGGCAACTCCTCGTCCCTCCTGGGAGCTCAAACCAAAAGCGAAAGCGAGGTGGTTCCTGCCAGCACGACTCCTCGCCCGCTGGACCTGGCTATGGGTAGCCCCGCGCCTGGGCTTGCTCTAACCCAGCCCGGGGGTCCTGGGCCACCTCAGCCAGTTTAACCAGCCATGTGCGAATGGACCCACTTCTCGCTGCTTTCGAAGGACCGATCCAGGGTGACAAGCCAGCTCAGCCAGCCGGGATTGCGCTTTCTTGCCAGTCTGCAGGGGGAATCTCAGCTTTTTGAAGCAGATGCTGCTTTAAATGCATTTTCTGAGCAGATCTGAATAGGGAAGGGAGCTCTCCCCAAGCTCCTTTAATACCCTGGTGCTTTAATACTGTGCAATGAGACATATTTATAAATAAAAGAAAATGAAACAGCCACCCGACAAAGCAGACTCCAAGCAAGAGCAACAGTCCCCAAAGGGAAGATTTATCCAAGGTCTTTGAGGATAGACAATTAAGTGAGGGCAACGCGAGAAAGCCAATAAATCCAGGGAGACAAATGAAGGGCAAGGAATATCACCCCGTACAACTCCGCCAGTCTTTCCCCCCCAGCAGTTTCAGCTTCCAGCCTCATTTTCTCCTCCAGCAGGAAAAGAAACCATTTTAATGTGCTCAAGACTGTGCTGCAAAAACCGTGAGCTTGGGGGACTTCAAACATTATTTTTCTTGCTCGAGGGCTCAATCCCTCTTTCCCCGGATGATGTCTCCTGGTTAACAAGGGCATATCCACATCCAGCTATTCCAGCGCCCTTTGATATTTAATAGGCTGAGTTCCAGTGGAGACCAGTATGCCGGCGCTCACAGCAGCCATTAGCTGCTTTACATTATAAAATTGCAGTCCCATTGCAAGCGCTGGGTTAATTCACTTACGGGAGAGAGACGCAGCCTCTCCAGCTCCGGCATCGCTTCCCCTGTGGCTGTTCCCCCTTTTTGGTCTTTGCTTAGCAAATCCTCCTCCCATTACTCCCCTGCCCAACTGGGAGCTGCTAATTGGTACCCGAATACCGCCGCAGGTTGGCACAAAGCAGATTATTATCTATTCAGCTGAAGGATGCTTTGCCTCAAGGCAAGCACCGAGCCGCTTGGGATGAATATTAACCAGCAACGACGAGCACACTGAGAGCACCACGCTCGCAGGACAGGAGGGATTTTACACGGAGGGTTTTTTTCGTTTAGCAGAGACATCTTTAAGATCACTAAGGGTCTTTAATTCCTCTGTTTATCATGGGAACACAATTCCTGCCAAGCACTCAGCTTGAATAAACAGGTCTGCAAGTCACTGGCCGGGCGCAGCGCTGCACGACAGCCCACACACGCAACCGGGAGCAGACACGCGTGCGCCGAGCGCCACGGCCCTGAGCCTGGGCGCGATGGGGAGGGGACTCAGAAACCCCACACCTTCCCAAGGCGAGGACGCCTTTAGCTGGGCTTTCACGAAGTGCACAGCTCGGCAGGGCTGAAGCCCTTAAAAACCATCCACCAAAGCAAGCCACGCTCCCGCCGGGCCGATGCCACCTCTCTTGCGAACCCAGGAGCGGGGCAGAGCCATGCCGAGCAGCCCCCGTCTTTTGGGAGCACGCACGGAGCACCCCGCGTCCCCCGAAACAGGATAACGCAGCCGCAAACTGCAAAACGTGCTGCCCAGAAGAGGGTGGGGGAGGCTCTGGGCTTGCTCTGCGCGGGGGCTCAGCATCCCGCCTGCCCCCGGTAGCTTTTTGGCTTCTCAAAGGGAGAACGAGTAACCGCAGGCTTCGCTTCTGGCTGTCCCGAAGGGGAAGGTGTCCCTGGCAGCACCCGGCCACGGCTCAGGGGCAGCAATCCTGCGCCCAGCAAGGACAGTCTTTCTCATCAGTTTTTAAACAACCGGGTCTGCCCCAAATAATTGAAATCTACACACGGATTTAGAAAACGGGCAGTTTTTCTGTTGGTTAGGAGAGATTAGCAAGGTTTGCAGGAAAAGGAGGGTTTAAATGTGGCACATCCTTAAAGGAAATCCCCCTGGCAGCTGGTCAACATCTTTAGCCAGCGGCTGCACCTATACCTGCAGATCTGGCCTGAAAGTCGGGGCTTAACCACTTAAGAGTGGCAAAACCCGAAGGCAGGGGGGTCAGCGGTGCTCACGGCAGGCGGCAGGGCACCGGCTGCGGCAGAGGGTCCCTGCCTGCCCGGGGATCACCTGGGCCCCTTTGCAGGAATTTACTATGATTTATTTTGTCTCAAAATGGCCACTTTCCTCCCTTTCCCACTCCCTCTGGCCTTTCAAAATGTAAGACCAGGGTGGAGAGCAGATTTTTTTTTTTTTTTTTTTTTAAATTTGGTTTTCCCCCATATTTCCCCGAGGGGGAAGGCAC